ATATATATATATATATATATATATTGATTTAGTATCATTTAAGTGAAAGTATCAATCTTAATGATATTAATAAAGTATATGATATTGATTTAATATTAGTTAAACGAAAAAAGTTGAAGGTATATAATATAATTATTTAGTAGAGTATGAATATAAAGGGATATATATTTATAATTATTTTGCTTTTATGGTATTTGCTTAGTTTCCTAAAAAGAAAGACTTGTATAATTATTATCCATTTTAAGATGAAAAAATTATAGATAACACATAACGTGGATGAAGCATTCACATTAGTCAAGAAAGACACAAATGCAACTAAAAAAATATAATAAAGACCAAACTACAATTAAATACACAAAAAGTATTGAAAAGATCACAAGTAGCTAGAAAGAATATTGTTATTTAGTGGTGAATTATATGAGGAAGTTTTATTTGGTAACAAAGTTTGATGTTATCTTAAAATTAAACTTTCATTTGAATTGTTTTTTTCTTCTTAATTCAATATTACATACAAAGTGCATGTTTTTTGTAATCCTTTAACATGTTATTTGAATTACTAGATTATACAGTAGATAATACTGCCATGTTTTAGTAATAAGATTTATTTTGATATACTAATTAAAATAATAATAGTTTGATATTAAATTTCAACTTACTAATTTTGGGCAGGGGATTACGTTATATTCTTAATAAATCAAAAGTTACGTAATTAGAGTTGATGTTAACTACTAACTATTTGATTCCTTACATTTGCAGGTTCAGGTTCGATAATATATGGAGTAATAAATTAGATTGAGCTTAAATTGTCAAGTCATTAACTTAATGATTATATTTAATTTATTACAAGAACTTCTACTTATACCTTTTTACATAAAATATTTTTAGTAATTCAACAAAATTGTACTAAGAATCGAAATACACGCAAATTAGTTGGTAAATAAATATGAAGATATTAACCATTGAGTCAAGATAATTGAGATTCTATTTGAAACATACATACATCACATTTAACATATATATGAGTTATCTTTCAAGATCTGTCAAATCGCATGTTTTCTCTCTTCATCAAAACCCTTATTTATCGATTAATTTAACTCAGGTATGCATATCAATATATTTCATGTATGCAACAAATATCATTTCATATAATCAATGGTTCTTTTTCTTTTTTCCATACATATATATGTACTTCGTTATCTTCAATTATCTCATATGAATTGGAATGAATTAATCAGGTATTGATAAAAATGGAACTATTCCAAAGGGCGGAGAGCGTTCGGCTTAGAAATCGAAAAGACAAGTACCTAATAGCGATGGATGACAAAGATAGTGTAACACAAAGACGCAAAGGATCTAATAAAGATTCAATTTGGAATGTTGAATTTGTTGAGGGAAGAGAAGACGCGTTTCGTCTCAAGAGTTGTTATGGGAAATATCTAACCGCTACCAACACACCATTCATTCCAGGTGTTATTGGAAAGAAAGTAATCCAAGCAGATCTTCCAGAAAAGAATTACCCATCCATGGAATGGGAAGCCGTAAGGGATGGATTTCAGGTACGTCTCAAATCATTTTGGGGAACATACCTTCAACCAAACGGAGGATTACCACCATGGAGAAATTCAATTACACACGAGGCTCCTAATACTAATAGAAAACACGAAAAAGTCTTGTGGGATATCGAGGTTGTGGATAAACGTCCTAATTTACATCGTCGAACAAGGTCAGATTCCACCTTTCAGAGATTGGATTTAACTTTTATCAGATCAAATTCACGTTCTGTGGCATTCACTCTTGTTTCCCCAAAGACAAAGGCCCAACTTGGAGAACCTCAAGAAATTAGTTAAATCAAATATATATGTATGTTTATATGTTATCTTCATTAACTAATTGTGCTTATTGAGGAATTCTTCATAGTATAGCAATTTGTAGATTGAGATTCACATAATTCATTACTTAAGAATACTACATTATTCAATATCCAAATATTTGAGGTATATGAAAATTGTGTTATTATATAATGTCGACTGGTTTAATAATAGGTCCAAGTCAAATTGATGTCATTTAAAGCTCAATCAAATAATTCAAATAAGAAAATCATATCTTCAAAGTTCATCACTTTAATGAAGGCATTGAAGTCAGGAGACCAATCCCAAGTTTTTTTTCTAGTGGATTCGCTATTAACTAATTTACTTCTCGTTAAATACAATTATATGTGTTTCTCTTGGTGATAATGTCACGACCCAAGGTACACCCTTTGCATAACATGACATATATGACCCCAAGAGGCCTTGCCCAAGCCACTTAGCATACATTATACAAGATAATAGAAATAAGGAATTCAAAATCATAGTTTTATATCATAAAAGAGTTTTGACAAAGCGAAAGTCTAATTATAAGTCTCTGTTGGGTTTTAAAGGTGTGAACAAGAAATGAAGGATTGTGACTCTCCTGAAGGGTTGTAACTATGCCGAAGGGTTGTGACCTTTATGAAAGGTTGTGTTCTTTCTAAAGGGTTGTGATAGTTTGAAAGGTTGTGCCTTTTCCAAAGTGTTGTGACCTTTCTGAAAGGTTGTCTTCTTTCCAAAGAGTTGTGACCTTTACCCTTTGTTGGCTATAAATAGAGAGGCTTTCTCTCAATTTTCTACATCGAATTCTTCCCTTCTTTTGCATACATTTCTTACAAAACAAAATCGATCGATCGTGTCTGTGTGTATGATTTGTTGTGTGATTCGTTGCTGTCATTTTGAGTTCGTTGAAATTATCGAAGTTTGAGGTACCACTACTTGTCTAATGGTTAATCCATTTATCTTGGGAGGAATTAATCTGCAACCTCGGGTACTTGAGGGGATTAAATTTCTTAAGGACACACAGTGGGTTCTGTGGACTCGGATAGTTCTTTGGTTTTTTTTCATCTTTTATTATTTCTGGTTTGCTAATCTGAATACATGAGATAACAAGCTTAAGAAATTTAATATTGATGGTATTTTCTGTGGTAAGGTAATTACTTTTATTTTCTGTGTTCTTTCTATTGAAAAAAAAAAAAAAAAAAAAGAGAATTATTTTATCATATGGTAAAAGAGATTTGGGATGAATTAGTACTACTTTAATATGTTCGAGTATATTTTCTGTAGTAAGTTTTCCATGGATGGGTAAGATTATTTTTATTTTTCTTCCCAAGTGCATTCAAACATTGCACCCCTTCACTTTTCTTTTCAATGAGAAAAGTTTATTTGTGCATAAAGGCTAAGATGAACACTTTAGTTATTTTTCCTATATTCTTGGTTTTATATAACTATGAGAAGAAGTAAATGAACATATGTTGTCTCCTAACAATATTTGAACATGAGTTTAGTTTCTCGTTGAAATTCAATATCTTCTAAGGAAAATTAGAATATGATGGAAACTGGGAAAG